CATATTCATTTTTCTCCTTCGATTGTGTGGCAGTTCTCTTGGAGATCTTAGGTGCGATAATGGTACTACTCCAGAGAGTGATAGCACTAAAGTTCTCCCTTAGATTCAACTCAGTTTGAGAGGGTAGCTTCCCTTGTGACTCTAATCGCTCCACAGTTTGAGCCAGTGGACTCATTTTCTTATCCAATTCTTATAGATAAACCTCGGTTGAATTCTAGAATTTCTCTTAGGATAAGGTCAATCACTCAACAATGGATTCTAGTGAAGACTTATGTGGTTGATACGAATAAGGCGGAGGGGCCTCGGTTGATAAGCTTGGTTTTACCTTTGGTTTTGTCTGTAATGAAAGTTCAGATGGTCTTTCCATCCTGAATTGTAGGTATTGTCGTGTGGGTTGTAAGGTCTCTGAGGAAGTCCTAGAAAATTGCCTATTGCATTTACTTGTGTATTGGAATCTTCTTGTAACATCGGATAACAGTCTAGTGGATAATTCGAAATTATGCAAATTCTGCACAATTTAGTTGTACCAATTTTACCTGAAACAAGAGAATTTACCACATCAGTAAATTTGTCAATTTTACTTTATAAAGAAATTGGCAGCCATTTTAGAAATCAAATCTCTAGTCGCATTCAGAGTTATGTTCAAGAAAGTTCCTCTACTAGCAATATCTACCATCTTCATTTCCAAAGAGAGCAAGCCTTCGTAGATGTACTGCATTAGAGTTTGTTCAGTTAATCTGTATTGCGGACAACTAGCATAGAGCTTCTTAAATCGTTTTCAATAGTCTTAAAGTGACTCTCTATCTTTTTGTCAGATTCCAATGATGTTTATTCTTAATTCACTCGCCCTTGTTGTAGGAAAGAACCTGTCAAGAAAAAGACGAGTCATGTCAGCCCATATTGTAACATAATTGAGATGTAAATAAAATAGACACTCCTTAGCCAAATCGGCTAAGGAAAAAAGAAAAGCTCTAAGTTTAATTTAATCCTCAGATACTCTCTGTGGTTTCATACTTGAGCAAACCATGTGAAATTTCGTGAGATGTTTGTGTGGATTTTCACTGGGCAGTCCATGGAAGGTAAGGAGAAGATGAATGAGGCTAACTTTTAGCTGGAATGGAATTTTGCTATGAGGAAAGGCGTTGCACAATGGTTGTTGCACTACAGGTGCCGCAGCAAGTTCCCAAATCATTTGATCACTCATCGGAACTGGTTCGTTTGGCGTAAAAAGTGTATCAACATTGAAGGGTGCTTCTGGATTCATATCCGGTTGTTTTTGGTGTCATGTTTCTTGTTGTTGTTGTCATTGTTGTATTTTTTCTCAAACCATTTGTGCATGGATTTTTTATGCTCGTGCTTCGATCTCTGGATCACAATTTATTAGTTCGCATGGGTTCTCGCTAACCATAAATCAAAAAAACTTTAATCAGTAATTTGTCGAAGTTTCCAACAATGGCCCCAATTTGGCAAACATCGTCATTGCCAAATAAAATTCCTTTTTTCTCAAAATAAGTAAATAAATAAGGAATAAGTGTAGTCTAGAGAAGAAAATTTTGATCCGTAGAGACTTAGAAATTTCCAACTTTGAGTTGCGTTAATTCTGATACAGGTAAACTAATAACTATAATAAAAAGGAAAAGGTTGATTTGGTAATATAAGGATTGGAATAAAATTAACTAAGTGAAAATAATACAGAATGAAAGGAAAATAGTTGAAAATAATTGGAAACATTAATTATAGAAAATAGCCTCGAGTTTTGCTTTGCCTAAATCTGTTTTGATCATCGAAATAAATTTCACTTCGGGACTCATGTCCATTATAGTCTACAAGGTCCAACACTTGTAACTTACTTTTCTATTTGGTAAACTGATATTCCCAAGTCAATATGTGAAATTCAGTCCTTGATTGGACTAACTACAACTATCGCTGTTAAAACAAAACAATTTTAAGAATTGGAAAAGCACGACTCAGATTATGTTGTCTCAATGAGAATCAAATCCGATCTCAATTTCCCTTAGCAGACCATCGCTAAGTGTGTTCTCAGGAAGTCAAACTTACTACAAGCCGATTCTTCCTCCTAACTGTAAATCAGAACAACATCCAGACCAACGTCAACTTTTTGAAATGAAAGTGTTTTGATTTTAAAGGAAAGTCCGATTGCCAATTCAAGTTTGCAAAAAATTGAGAATGTAATCCGAAGATGTTAAATGCTTTTCAATTCTCACAATACGAATTGAGTCATCGCTAATCCATCGGCTAAATAAAAAAATTAGCTAAGCATGATAGAAATCATACTTAGTATTTTTAAGAAAACTTAAAATGAAAATAAATATGAAAAGAAAAAGGAAACTTTTATAAAATAAAAATAAAGAAAACTAAAATAATATCCGTACTTCAAGCTTTACCCTTAGAGAGTTAATAACTTTGTAAAATGCTAAAGATAACATGAAAATTCAAAGGTAAATTATCCTAGATAAATCCCAAGTGTTTCGCATTCAAAGTTAAATCTAAGATTCCTAAAAGATTTCGTTCTCAGATAGTGTTAATCAAACTGCCTCCAGAAATTGCCAATGCTGACTGGACCTTCTGGAAACTATCACATCATACCTCGTCATGCCCATGTCTCCAACCGCGACCAGATAATAAAAAAAATATAGATTGCATCCTTCTTATTGCTAGTTCTGAAAAATTGATTACTACACTTAAATAATCGAAATAGAACCAAATCAGCAACAATAAATCGATATCATAGAAGAATTAACAAGTAAATAACTTCAATCTACAACACTCATCAACTATAATTTATCTTAAAAAAACTATTTTATGTAATTCAATTTATTTCACACACTTTGTGGATGTAGAACTTCTTCTTAATAATTATTTTTTAATAATAAAATAATATACTATTCAAATTTAAATTAATATTTGGGATGCTAATAGAATAAATTTTGTGAGAATTTTCATTTTTCACTTGTGTTGAAAAAAATAAAAGGACATATAAAAGAATACTTCATATTTATTTCATACGTACATTGAATAACTTTACAAAGCTAGTCATTTATATACAAGTATGAACAACATATCTGATAACTAACTAGTTAAAAAACTAACTTCACTCTCGACACTTCCCCTCAAGTTGGCGGGTGGAACACATCTTTAACCCCTAACTTGAATAAGAGGTATTCATGTTGATGCACTCTAAGACCCTTAATCGTGATATCAACTTGCCACTCTACTGTATGAACATACTTTGTCTCTATCAAACCTTCTCGAATCTTGTCCTAACAAAATGATAATCAAATTCGATGTGTTTCGTTCTTTCATAAAACACCTGCTTTGTTGTTATTTGTAGAGCAACCTTATTATCACATAACAATTTTATTGACTGCCTTTTATTTAGATCAGGTTCTTCCTTTAGTACTTGCAACCAAATAATTTCTAATGTTGTTACTGTCATGCTTCTATATTCTGATTCAATAGAAGAGCGTGCCACAATGGTTTGTTTCTTCGACTTTCAAGAGACTAGAGAATCTCCAAACTTCACACAGAATCCACTTACCGACCTTCGAGTCATTGGGCAAGCAGAGTCTTTCAGCTTTGTATGATATATGTATATCACATATGAAAAAAATATGAATAAATATATTTGTATTGTATATATAGTTATAAGCCATTTAAATTGAAATCAAGTAAAATTATAATATTATAAATATTTACAAATAAATTTAAACAGAAACTCGAAAAATTGACTCGATTGGACTCGACTCGAAAAAATTTCAAGTCAACTCCATGTTATAAAATAAAACTCATCAACTCGAGTAAATCAATTTTTTTATTCAACTCGGCGGAATGCTTATCCTTATCTAATTAGACAAGAATGTATATAGATTTTGTGGATCGTGAAACGAGGATAAAGAAAAAAAAAACTAGTCTCATAACTGGTGGAGGTAGGGCTGTAAATGAGACGAGACATATCGTGAGTTACTCGAGATCGACTCGATCAAGGCTCGATAAATACTCGGATCGAATGGACTCGACTCGAGCTCGAGCTCGACTCGAATTCTTAACGAGCCGAAACGAGCTACTTGATACTCGACTCGAAAAGCTCGTGAGCAGCTCGAAAATATAATATATAAGATTTTATTTTTTTTAAAAAAAATTATTAAAAATATTAATATTTATGTATTGATTTTTTTAAAGAGAATACATTAAGATTTTCATGCATTTAAGGTTCAGGTTCGAGTTTGAGGCTTCAATCGAGTTAAGTTTAAGAATTGTTTTTCTTTATTTCGAGCCTTTTCGAGTTGCTCATGAGCTTCAGTTCAGGATTTCGAGTTCTAGTCGAGCTTGAAAATTTTAAGCTCGCGAGTTTTCGAGTCGAGTTGAGCTCAATTTTAGAGTTTTCAAGTCGAGTCGAGCTCAGCAATACTCGAATTCGACTCGGCTCGTTTACACCCCTAGGTGGAGGATAAATATGAGTATGATTTTGTACTCGTCTATTCTTCACCCACCTCGCATCGTTATTTATTTGAATATCATGTATGGACTTTATATTTTTGAATTTACATTAAAATTATATTTTAATTTATTAAATGTCACGGCACTTATTATTATTTTTAAAATTAATAGCTAGAATAATGTTATATATAGTGAAAATTCGGTCGATATATATTCAATATTTTTATAATAATTTTAATTTATATTTATTTAATTAATTTTAATCTTATAAATGGTTGAGTATAAATAATTTTAAAATTTATACCTACAACATATTACATAACAAAATTAAAATTCGATAAGAACATTTCTAATTAATACTACTTAATATCATCTTTTTTCTTTCTTAAATATTTTCTAATAAAATAAATGGTTGAATTTGGAATTAAAATAGAAGAAAACAATAAATATGGGTTTCTAACTTTTCCTTTTTCTTGGGTTGAATGAGAAATAGCAAATTTTAGAAAACGGTGCGTTTTCGTAAGGAGTTGATCGAATAAAACGCTTTGAACCAAAAGTCAGCCTTAAATTACCAGCCGCGACGCAATCGCGAATCAAGCTCCGGAATCTGCAATCCGCCATCCTTACGCGGCGGTGCAAAGGAAAAGAGAGGAGAGGAGAGGAGAGGAGGATGTTGGAAAACCCTACATCCACCGCACCCGATGCCGCCCCTGTAATCAAACGCTACGCTCCTCCTAATCAACGGTAACTTATTAACCCTAAATTTCCCTCCTTTCCTATTTCCTTAGTTTAGGCCTCTTCCGTTTCCGTGTGTGTCTCTTTCTCTCTATTTTTTTTTAATTATGCTTCCAAATTGCAGAAACCGTTCTCTCGGCCGCCGTAAGTCTGGAGGTCAGCTTCTTCATCAATTATTGATCATTCCTTCTTTTACGGTGGTTTATGTATATACATATATTCTTTTAAAAATATTTTTTAAATTTTAATTGATTTGGTAAATTGAGTTATAATTAAATTTTGCAGATTGATTTCATTGGACTAATAATGTTTATGGGAATTATTCAGAGAATAACCTAGGTGCCGCATCGAGAAACAATAATCTTGTCGGGGATGCTGGGAGCAGCGCTATCCTGAATGAAGGCCACCATCGTCCTACTTTAATACCTTTAGAAGGCTGTTCTAGAAGTGATGCTTCTCGGCTTTTAAGCAATCGTACGATGTCTCTACACACTTACTTTGAATGATTTTTTTTGTACTTTTATTAAGAAGACTGCCCTTGTTTCTGAATCCCACCAACATTGATTATTCCATTACGTACGTGAAGTTAGAGCTATTGATTTTCTTATCATTACATTTAGGTGAATTGTTCAACTTATGGTTGGAAAGGAAAGGGTTTCTTTGTCTTTTGTTCCTGGTTAGGGTAGTGCCTTTATTATCGGTTCAGATTCTGGAGTATTTTTCTGAAGCCTAATTAGTTTCGCGGATGACTTTTCCTCTGGTTGGTTAAGTGGTGAAGGTTAAAGAATAGTTGGGGTGGGGCTTAGGTTCAAATCCACTTTTTTTCTCTTCTATTGTTGTTTGAAAAGTGTTAGCCTTGTTTGAAATTTTGAACTTTTTAACAATCCATGTACACAATCATTCGGCGGATATACATTAATTGTTTTTCTCTACAAATGCAGGTTGGGCAGCTGTCCTACATCGCTACCATGATACTTCTATTGATTTGTCAGGTGAGTGGAAGAATATAAAACTTATAAAATTTTCCATTTTATGTTTGATTTGATTGGCTTTGTGATCCTTTATAGGAAGCAAATCTTGTAGTGGTACATTATCTACATGATAAGAATGGTAAATGAGGTTTGCAAGTTAATTTGAGATATAATTTTCTGAACTCCCACTGTCAATAATGGCATCACATACTTTAAATCCACAGAGAACACGGATTGCCTTACTAAAGTTGGATTGTGCTTAACCCTGCAATCACTCTTCTTTATGTCACCGTTGTCGGTTTCTATTGCCCTTCCGCCATAGGACTTGAAGAAGCAATTTCTTTACTATGGTAACTGCCCTGAGAATGACATCTTCCCTACTAGATAAAGGCCTTGCACATTAATAGAAAACTCCATTCTCAGCTTGCAAGGCATATTGTCGAGCAACTTCTAAATTATAGACACAAACCAAGACTAGTCCGTCTCTATTACTTTAATCAGAACCTGCCAGATAGAAAGTTAGCTGTTCATTAGTCTCATTCAAACGAACTCTAATGGACATATTATTAAATTCAGTAGTTTAGTTAGGGATGGAAAAAATACTCTTTTAATATATTTATATATTATTAGCGAGAACTATTAAAAAAAATATTATTAGTTAGTTTTTGATAAAAATATATGTAAAAAAAATTAGCAGGTAAGGTACTGAATTATGACATTAAATTAAAATGTTCTTTTATTTTATGGTATTAAATTGAATAAATTAGTATTTTATTTGACTTTTTCTATTTTGAAATAACGTGTGAAAATTTGAAAATTACGTTATATCGGGTCAGGTTGGAGTCGAATTTCCACGTACATTAATATACTTGAACAAATCTAACATAAAAAATCAAACTTGATGCACCGAGGCGACTAGGTTGTCAGCTTTTCAACATTATCATTGGAGATATCCGATGAATATAAGATATTGAGGATCATTTTTGGCTTTAAGTTAATTCAAGCTGTAGCACAAACTAGCGAGCATTGAGCTGTGCTAGTGGATGAATAATCGTTTTAGTATGAACTCTGTTGTTAAAACATATGTAAAGGTTCCTCATCCCGGGCATGGGTTAGGGATCTTTTTGAAATAATTTCTACTAGCTCCTATCCTATTCTGTTTCATTGATAGTAAGATGTCAGAGAAGGCTACCATTGAGTTGAAAGTTGCATTTCTTTTAGATTTTATGGTAGCAAGCAGTTCTACGTATCTCTGCCTGTTGTAGGGGCTTTTGGAAGTGTCATATTAGTCATATTAGCATCCTTTCATGTTTTTATATTTTATTTTTCTGTTTCCTCTGTTTCACCTCATGACTGACCTTGTTGCCATTCTCATGTACTGGTGGATAGTTTCTTCTGCATTTCTTGAGTTAAAGGACCACACTAGATGGTTTTAGTCTTACTGTGGTTCTCTTTGTTTCAGAAAGGCCAGTGCTGTACTCTGGAAGTAGTGATTCAGCCTGGAAGAATTTCAGACTTCCCCATCAGGTGTTCTTCCATCCCCTACTTCCCCACCCCTTCTTCTTGTAAATCTTGCAGCTTCTTTCCTTGTGCATTTATCTTGTCTTTTTTCCTCAGATGATGTCCCCAACAAACACTACTGGACCTTCATCTGGTTCACAGATGGATTTCTTAGCTGAACTTCGTCGTTCAATTCGGAATGCCAATACCGACCACTAACTACAGAAAGTGTGGCTTGTGCGGATGTGGACTTGTGAAGTATTTTATGAAATTTGCACTCTAAAGTACCTTTTGTATGTGTTGATTAGTACTCGGATCAAATGTTACTTATTTGGGACATGATTTTTTTTACTGTAAAGCATGGTCCAGGGCATCTGCTCCTTGGACATGTAATTTAGATGAAAACGTTATGAACTATGTAAGCTATACAATGTTATATTACTTTGGAATTCGTGTTCCTTTTATGCGACAGTAGTCGGAGACATGTACTGTTTTTGATGAATGTGAATCTCTCTCGTATTAAATGTGAGCTTTTGTTCTTGTAAAATGAGGTTTTTATCATGTGTGCTTCTAGGGAGAATGGCTGCTGAAATGAGATTTTTAATGCCATTCTTAACCATCTTTTATTACAGCTTCAGGATTTACATATAATTACTTCTAAAAGAAATGAATGTGAAAATTTTTGTATGATGATGAACAGTGACATGGCAATATATTTATGGTATACATCATTCTTTCCAGACAGGAATAATTCCTTGGGCTGCCAAACGCTTTTCAACCCAGAACACTACATGCCTTGCTGTAATTTTCTTCTCATCAACAAGGAAAGGCTCCACAGTGCTTGCTCCTGAGCCATATGAAGACAAGGAGAATCCTTTTGGACCTATGCAAATAGAGAAAAATGTTCAGATCATTACTGTAGTAATGGAAATCCTTCTTTTCAATTTGCCCAAATTATTATACCTGTAAGGACTCCATCAGGGAAGAAGGCCCAGAACCAGTAGGGACAGCCCTCCTTCAGGAATGAACCTTCCAACTGTCCAAGTTTGAAGACGTTAAAAAACCCCAGCAGTTAAGTTTCATATGGATTGATTTCGAACGAAAATAGAGCAGAATGAAACCTTGTTGTCTTGGAAAGTGAGTTCAATTTCAGATATATCATCTTGAGTTTCCAGTATTGTTTTCAATGAAGGGATGACATCCTCCAGCATCAACTCCGGCAATGCTTTAGCAGGAGCCTTCGCAGCGGGTTTGGGCTTTGCTGCCTTCGCTTCCTCCTTATCACTACCACCACCAGCGGCGGCTGATGGTTTTACTTCCACAGGAGTAGCGTTTGTTCCAGCAGTGACTATATATATATATATAGCAGAAAAGCAACACATTAAGTTCAGAAGGATTTTCACATGCACAGATAAGAATGGAAAAGCTACCTGTAGGAGTAGAAGATTCTTGAACAGCGGAACAGGCGACACATCCGCGGGAAATAATTGATTTTCCGACCACAACCTGCGGATGAAAAGGAAGTTAAGAACTTCAAACTTACTGAGTAACACATGCTTAAAGATGGTTGCATGATTGAACTATTTGCTGGGAAACTAAGGTATTAAAAAATCAAGCAAAATTGAAGCATGTAGCGATAAAGTACCATTGATAGTGTGGAAGGCAATGAAGAGGAGGCGAGTCTGGAACTGGAACTGGAACTGGAACTGAGATATGAAGTAGACGACGGAAAGGTTGAGAAGCCAATTGGCCTTGCACCCAATATTGCCATTTTCGTATTTGATAAATTATTGTTCAGTCAACGAACATTTCTGGGTTCTTTTTTTCTTCTTAGTTTATTTCGAGGCAGAGGAAGAAAACATTACTGAGCATTCAATAGGTGAAGAAAACTGGTATAAGAGAAGAGTTTCCTGATCCACTTAAAGTTTAGGAGAATATACACCACTGCTTTCTCAATTTCTTTGTCTGAACGTACAATATTTCGTTTTGTTTATAACTGAAATTACTTCTTTTAAAAAAAGATGGAAAATAGTAGCAAACGGTGGCCCAATCACAGTCCTAAACCCCAAAAAAAAATCAAAGAAAAACAAGAAAATAACATTTTTTTTGCTCTGATCCTTTTACCATAACCTCAATAGTTGGTATCATGGTTAACAAGTACAAATGCCAGAAAGATAAACCTAAATTATCAAAGATCATTCAACCTTCAACAAAGTAGATGGAGCTTAACCCATCTCCTTCAGCCCCACATATGCTGATACCATATTATTCCTTAATAGCCGCAAATTAAATGACGAAGTATGTTGTCTACATCAACAAAAAGAGATTTTTACTGCTAAGACAAGGACCTGCAACATTCCCTTCTCTACCATGAAGAAAGATTGGTAGAAAATGGTGATCATTTAGCCGACTTAAAGTAGCCATTGCATACAAGTTTTTGTATATATATATATAAAAAAAAAAACTTGATTTCCCTGCATATGTATGAACCTAACTCTGTAAATCTAAATTGGCTCAGATTACCTAAGCAAAGGAATACTCAAAAATGAAATTTTGGTCAAAATTCTGCTCTGTACAGTCGTACGTTTTTCTTCTTTCATCCTTCGATATCAAAGGAAGCTCCCAATGATTAATAACCGTGGTGGGTTCAGTAATTTGAAGAGAAGATGTCAAATGCCTTGTACAACCAAATGTTCTCCCCATGTTGTATAAGCTCTGAAAATGGCTAGCTTTATTATTTTGGTGCTCTTCTATCTGAAATAAGCCAAAGAAAGTACATATTAATTTTAGAATATAAGACGGATGCTAATCTGCAAAAGGATCTGGAATGAAAGAGCATGTACAAAGATTCTGTGTGGCTTTCATAAACTTAAGTATCAACTACTTGTACTTGAGAAATTAGAATGCTTAACGACCACATTCTACACATCATAATTGAATCTTAATCCATATAAACAGAACAATTGATTTAGTGAATCGAAAGAAACAGGATGCTCAACTTTAGAGGTGGCAATTGGGAGGAACTCGGGTTGGTTTGTGTTTCAGTTCTTTTTCAAGTTCGGGCTTTTTTGGATTCAGGTCTTTTCGAGTTCAGGTTCGGGTTTGTATAAACATTATATCATATGTAATATTTTCAAATTTTAAATGCATGCTTAATATACAAAACATATAAATTTTACAAAAATATTCATACAATTATAAATAAATCCGTTTTGATACTATTTACAAGAATAGTGGATTCAATGTTCTATATCAAAATTCATTATTTTTATTAGTTGTTTAGTTCTTTTACTTAAGTTAAAATATTGCCAATGAAATATTAACAAAAAATTAAATAAATACTAATACTAATAGACAATAGTATAAAGCTTTTGTGCTTTTGTGTGATAGTAGTAATCTCACTTTCTATAACTTTAACCATTAATGCAAAATATATAATTAATTTATTAAAAATATTGTTGTAAAATTATATATAGTATATAACTAATTTATTAAAATATATTACAATAAATTTAATAATCAAAGCTTTTAAAAAATTAAATACAATTTGGTAAATTATTTTTAGTATTAAACTCGGTTTGGGATTCAGGTTAGGCTTGAGTTCGAGTTTGTTTTGAGTTTGGGTTTTTCTGAGTTTAGGCCTTTTGAGGTTCAAGTTTTTTGGGTTCAAGCCAATTTGAGCATGAGTTATTTTCAAGTTCGTGTCTTTTGGGCTCGGGTTTTTGAGCTTGGGCTCATTTTTGCCAACTTTAATGACCGGAGCACCACACATGTAAAAATAATTGTAGATAAAGAAGGAATATTACCTGAACTGGTCCCATTTCCCGGTTCCTTTTCAGAATGAACCTTCTTCAAATATGATGCAATGAACTCATCCAACTTTACCAACCAGAGTGCAAGTGCAGATGATGTTTGGGGCATTGTTGGAAAGAATGCTATGATTTCTTCAATAACAGTACAACCCCCTTGTTCAATATGGTGGCATTGACTCAACCAATTCTCATTAATTGCTGTGACAAAATCAGCAACTACCTGCAAACATGATTTGAGATGGTCCATTTTACAATTAGTGTCAGTATAAAAAATTTACCACTCAACTTCAAGAACTCTAAGCATGTAATTACCAAAGGACTACCTGCAAAAGCTCAGACAAAGATGATGCCCGTCGTAACCGTTTGACCCACAATCTGTGAGCAGACTTTGTCCAAGCACCCACTAAAGCATCTTTAGGCATAAATGACTGCACAAAAAGTAAAGGGGGTTTTTACGAGGCCTCATCTTCTATCAAAAAAAAAAAAGTAAGAAAAGAAATAGACAATGATTAAATAAAAATAATTGCATAAAGTTTGTTCTCCTTTTTAAATATTTTACATATATTATACATAATATTCACATGTTCGACTAAAGAAAGTAAAGATGCAACGGACTTCTTTTGAAGCCAGACATTTTAAAATACATAATTTGTTAATAAACATTAGACAATTTGCTCCCTTACATAGCTTAAATGTAAATCATAATCATCCACTAGCTAGTAGCTATGTTCACCATAATCTTCACAAAAAATTGGGCGGATACTTCATTACCCATTTTTTTTTCTTGTAAAGAGGGTTGGCATTGTCATTTTTGAATATTTAAGTACAACTAACAAAAGATATAAAGAAACCAAAAAAACCAATGAGACACTAAAGCATGAGTTTTATGTGCCCTGACCAACAGTCATTGGCAAAAAAAAAATACAGTAAAAGAAATATGAGCATGCATATGCATACTATGTCATATAATAGGGATGTATGGAATTTAGGCAAGGGCCTGTGTTATTTATTTTCATATGAAAATGTAATATATGATTTAGTTTTATAAAGAAAGGTAGCAAGACAAGGCAATAACGAAATGAAATGCACCTCAATTGCATGGACTGCAGCTTTCAGCGACTGCAACTGTGAGGGTAGGACTTTGAAATTTGGAAAAATACTATTGTCTCCTTTCTCTCTGCACGTAGCCACATGAATGGCATACTTCTCTTCTAGATCAAAATCAATCTCAAATGTGGTATGGCAAATTCTACAATGCTTCTCGTCTCTCCAGTACAAATCATGACAACACTCACACCTGGTAAGCGAGTCAAGATAAGAACGCTTCTTGTGTTTTACAGCATTAAGGTTCAAGTAAAAGTAATCCCATATCCACACATCAAATTCTTGAAGACGCCTCCACATTTTCTTTAGTTCTTCTCGCTTCTTCTCAGCATGAAGAACTATAGCACCGCATGAGGTTAAAGATTCATTCACGGCCACTGTCAAGATTAGGTTGTCAACATCAGAAACAGGAGAACAACTGTCTTCTCTTCCTACATTCATCTCGGGTGAATCAGATTGCATATGCCTGATTTCTGCATCAGGTAAGTGTCTGCTTGACATTTCTTGGCATAGTGAAGTTTCCCGCTTCTCTAAGGATTCAATAAGATGAGCTTCACGTTTACCCCTGTCATCCAAAACGACCAACAGGGCCCGCAATGCCTGCACCATGATAAGAGACAAACACGTGATAATGATAAAAAAGTAATCAACACGAGAACAATAACTTAATTGTCTGCAAAAGGAAAACTGAAAAGAACTCCAAATTTTCTTTCAGGTTAAGTCTCTTTTCTTTGGATAAAGAGTTTACTTTATAATGAAAAGACATGTTCTGAATATAGAAATGAGAAGCTAAATTTTAACCAGTAGTCTAACAAATGAAGAAATGGACATCCAATATGATAAGTCAGGAGGGGTACCTCTTCAGTGTCTACGATTTCCCAATGACCATCTTCAGAAGATTCAAAGTAAATCCTCCTATGTCCAGGGTCATATCCATTACAAGGGCCCAAGAAAAGCCAGTATCTATTGTACCTACGATCAGAGCCCAAAAATATAGATTGCATTGGGTGTATATAAACTCCTACTTCAGTTTGTTTTGCATCCTTTCCACTGGTAGAATGTTTCTCATTTTCAAAAAACTTTGTAATTGATGATGAGTCAACTGGGTGAGAGTCTGATGATGTGTATGGTTCTTGTCCACCTTTCCTTTGTCCACCATAGGCCCAAGATGGCCTAGGAAAATTCTGTTGGGTTGATGATGATCTCTTGATTTTTGCTCCAGAACCATAGTGAGGGATGCTGGGAATAAACTCAACAATGGCTTTACCAGGATTCTGAAAAATAAAATAATGACTAAAATGAGAAACTGTCAAGTATGGAACTAAAAAAATTCATGATTTCATAGCAAAGCAAGAAACATTTAAGCAAGAATGAAAACCTACAGCCCTCTAAATAGTATTTTATATTTGGTGTAAATATTTTTCAAAAATAATCATCTAACAGATCATGGGTCCTCAAGGAAAAGAAAAGAGAAAAAGATACATAAAGAAATAGTGAACATATAAGCAACATACCAAACAAGGGAGCAGAAGAGGAGCTTTTTCAATCTTTCATCTTTTATGTGTTTATTTATTTATTTCAATTTTATTGGGGTGAAGAGGCGTGAAAGAAATGGGAAGGGGCTGCCAACTTGGCCAGATGAAACTGGTTTACCTCCATTCGGATACTGGAACCAGCGCTAAGAAGATCAATCAAAGCCACTAATGCATTGAGCTTCTCTTCAATGCTCAAGTCAGAATATTCACCTTCCATAAGTCCTAGCAACCACACGTCTCCTGGATGGCTTTCATCAATTTCAGTGTAGACTGTCAGCATGTTATTTTTACTTTTACGATGATTATCATGCTTTGTTTTCCTTTGATAGTAATTTCCTGAGTCACACTCAGAATCATCACTGCTGTCATCAGAGTCATCAACACTTCCAGAATCCTCAGTATCAGAATGACAATCGTTGCTGTCCTTTGCAACAGAACTACATCGCAGACGATAGGCAGATGATGATATCTTTTCAAATAAAGTAATGTCACTTGAAAGAGTTGAACATATTACTTCTTCAAGTTCCTCAGTTGAGCTTGTCAGATTCAATTCAGTAACCTTCAAAAGATTAAAACAAAATATCAATCACTGAATCAAGGTCATAATAACGACTACAATGAGGATTTCAACTTAGATGGCTTTTGCACTCTGCAGCAGAAAATTTTCACTTTCTAAATATATATGAATAAAGATCCTACTCTTACCGGCAAAGACAATGCCAAGTCTGATACTTTTAGCCCATTATTTCCTCTTTCTGACAAAATTTTGAACAGTTCATCCTTTAAACTACCAGGTTGTAGGCCAAACCTCACCATGAGGTTCATTTCCTGTAATTTAGGAAAGAAGATTAAATATAAAAATGACATATCTCATATATAACAAAAGATATCTGGGCCACAAGGAACTCCAAAGAAGTCTGGACATGAGACTAGCCATACGTATAATACATAAAAATAATGTACCCATACCTTGCTAAGAGCTTCCCTGCGAAATGGACCTTGTTTTGAACCAAAGCCAGCTGCAACTAAAATTTGGCGTAGTATTTCTGTCCATGTCAGAGGGTTCAAGGATGTCTTCCAGAACTCGATCACAAGCTCTTGGTTCTCTACCTGATAAAGGGAGAACAATCACATACATTTTTTTAGCAAGGACATAGACCTCCAATAATTTCTGACAATTCAATACTCAACATCGTAGGATTTTTAGGAAAGGTTACAACCGTCAAAAAAATCCTTACAAAGATTTAAGTGATACATCCATATACAGTTCTAGGAAGTATTTCAATATCAATGTGTTCCACAACCAACACATGCATTTTCCATATTATTGTTTCCTCTTTTGCATATATATGTATTATGCTAAGGCAAACGTATCCACTTAAAATGCACAGGGCTATAGTTTGATGATTCATTTAAGCTGTATTATGGTTGAAGCCATCGCACAGGAACAAAATCAGAATATCAGGCTCAGCCAAGTCATTGAATGCTGATCAACATAAATATCTTTTGCAACTTCAACTCAATCTTGATCGATATCCCAAAGGCTTATTTAAGTGAAATAAAACTCGAGCAAAAAAATTCCTTAAAAAATGGATCTTTTCTGATAAGTGCTTCCTTTTTAGCGGATCTATTTTCTAGTCAAATAACAACTACTGAATCCACCATTGTTTTTTGTTCTACAACTTTGACACTTTTCAAAAGGATGATAAATAACATTATCCAAATCAAAAGGAAGAAATCTAAATATTCATACCCCAGCAACCAACCAGATTGCTTAAGTAACACGGCGCATTAATAAAACAAATCAGAGGAGGATATCCCACACGAGAACAACAGTTGCAAGCAAACAGATACACATGCAAGCAATTATGTAAACCTGCATGATCATTACTCACCGATTGAAGAAGAGCAAGAAATTTGCAAGACAGACTAAAATGAGACAAAAATGCACCACTCAACTCCAATTGGACATCAGATAAAAGAAGCTTGAGAAGGGCAACGTGAATTTTCCCAAGTAACAATGAATCCTGAGATGGATGTATATGTTTAGGACAAACAAAAAAGAGAAAACCAATACAAGCCAAGTTAAGAACTTCAAAGTATATGGTACAATACAGATAAGTGGTAACCTTATCATGAAATGCTTGAGCAAACTCATCTAGTGTAAATGAGCATATGTCAAGTGTTACTGAATAGGTATACAAGAAATGGAAAACCTGCAAAAGAAATTCAAAATATAGTCAAGCAACATGATTAAGAAAAATAAAGGAACGGGAACGTACTGCCATAATATTGAATGAAGAACAACATTAATGAACTTTAGGCTTAGCAGGCACCTTAAACAGTTTTTTGACAGTTTCGGGAGATGAATCCCAGGGTTGCATACTGAATGGTTGCTTCATCTTAATTGAATTTGGCGGAAACTTAGCAAGCAAATCTGGGGAAACCATAAACAGATTCTTTACAGAACTCCAAAAAATTACCTTAGATATGCACATCATATAAATATTATAAATAAGATGTAAAAAATTGCACAAGTATTCTTAGAATAATAAACTATTAAGCCAGACAACCTTTGCAAAGGGAGCAACCAAGCAATCCACTTGCGCTAAGATGATCCACACATGTTAATGGATTTGGTCCAGCTTGTAACTCCCTCAACTCCAATTCTTCATCATCAACTAGCATTGTGAGACGATCAAGATGTTCATTAGATATAGTACCATCTAAAGCAAGTTCACATTTTTCTTTGCATGGTTGCCTCTGATTGTCATTTTTGTTAGATTGCACCTGGCACAAAACAGGCAAGAGACCATTATTACAACAGTTATACAAAAGTTAAAATTAAAACACACAAATGCAATAGATATGACCATAGATACCTCTCTCCTCTTAATGAAGGCCCTCTTCTTTTCCTGTAACTTCTTTTCCAAGCTTCTCTGTTTCTGAAATTGCAAGTTAATGTCATCATATTTTTGACTTAAGACCATTAAGAAAAACATAGAAAATGATCAATCAAAAGCATAACCACTGAGTTTTTTGGGAATAATTAAAAATAAATAAAAGGCTTCCTAAGAACATTAAAAGAAAGAAGTCAACATGAAATCTTGTGATTTAAATAATTTGATAGCTAACCATTTGAGATACTAAAGGCTGCCGTCTTTTGTTCCGGGGTGGTTGTCTTTGTACTGCAGGACTAGTTTGAAAAGGAGCACCAATTTCTCTATTAGAAAAATCAACTCCAGTAGTAATTTTTCCACCCTTGGGGTTCACAACCCTCCAAGCTGTCATCAAGCCTTTTCCAATGCCATGTTTCTTCACTGGAGCTTTCTCATTACTGTTGTTCTGATGGTCCAAGGAAGTAAACTCAAAAACCTTAATTACAAGAAGCAAAAGTAAAACAAATAAGAAAACAAAAGTAGGAATTGGAGATGAACATCTTGAAAACAACTCCAAAACCTTAAATATAAGAAGAAAGTAAAACAAATAAGAAAACAGAAGTAGGAATATGAGATGAACATCTTGAAAACATTCTTCACACCTTTCCCTTTTTGGCTGCTCTTCTTCTGCACTCTTGATCAGCAGGATGAGACTCTTTAGAACCTAAATATAGTAATTACGAGTAAGTCCATAAAATCATCAAAATACAGAGAGAACAACCAAGAATCAAAGAAAAGGAAAAAATCAAATTGTAACAAGCTCTGTTTATTCCGACCCTCGGTGTTAGGTCAAGTACCCTTGTCAGATACTTATCCAACATGTAATTGAAGTAAACAGTATATGGAATCTTTACCTTCTAGATAGAAACTTAAAAAAATTGAAATACACCAATGTTGGATAAAAAAACCCATATGCCAGAAACTTGCTCCCAAGTCTAAGCTATATAGATTGAGATAAAAACAGAAACAATAAGAAAAATATAAACTTAAAAATATTCAGTAGTTAGGAATGCATTTCATCAGTTATATTTACAGCAATAACAAAGAAAATTATATTTTTATCTTAGCAAATAGCAACACAGAAACCTTGAAAAATCTCATTGGATGAGCACAGTAAATGGAATAAGGTTTCCAACATAATTTTGATTACCGCACCAAATAGATGAAGACCTTCTTTAAGGAAAATAACAATAATAGTTAATAGCATCTAATAACCCGCTAGGGCTACAAGGCTACAAGCTTCCAGTAGCATACCTTCGTAGTGGAAAAAGGCCTGGGAAGGAAGAGAGTCGAATTCCACACCAAGCGGAGGACCATCCTTGCGAAATACCTTCTTTAGAATGTACTGAGCAGGCAACAAATCCTGAGGAAGAAGCATTTTCTTCTTTTTCTTGCTGAAGCCATTTGCCCCAACTGAAGAAGTGCTTTTATGATTCTCACTAGCAGAAAACATGCCTGTGGCATTCGTTTTTGTAGAAGCAGAGGATTTTTTCATCGAACGAATAGGTAAAATAGTTCTTTTCTCCCTTTTCCTCTTATAGATAAACCATTGCTGAACCTGCTTCAGAGTTAGTCCTAAAGACACAGCATAGCCATCCATCTCCTCCTGCGTAGGATATATTTTTTCTGCTTCACATGATTAGAAGAAAAAATAGGGATGAGTAATCATGTATAAGTATCAGGCAGCTGAAATTATTGATGAAAATCAATTTTTAATCTAAGTCAGACTTTAAAAGAAGGATTTTAGCTTAAATTTAGAATATACTTTAAGAAACAAACTTAAACTGTCTGATTGAAAACTTAACTATACAAACAGCATTTTTAACCTTCAATACTAAAAAAGAAAAATATCCAGAGCCAAAAGAACCTTTATATAAGTCCTCAAGTTCAACAAGTTGAAATTGCGATTTCCTCTTCATTTCCAACCACGTTCTCCTAGCCTTCAAGCTGATTACATTCAAGTTCCAAAAAAGCTGGAAACTCGAGCCAAAGTAAACATACTGCGAATTCCAAAAAAAAGTATCAAAGAATAGTCATTCAATAACAGAATAAAGTAAAACAAAAATACCCCCTCCACCACAACCAAAGGAGACGATAAGAGTAGAAAAGGAGTAAAGTGTTCCACCACCAGAAGCAGATACTGAGTATTATCATCGTAAATAAAAACATGTAAAAAGGACAAATTGAAGATTCTCGATGTAACCATCATCAGAAAAACGAAGAAAAGAAAAAGAAAAACACCATTTCCCTGGAAACAAAATAGCTTCCAAATTCGAGTCCCTCTAAAAGAACCAAAGATAGAAGAGAAAACAGTGAAGTGGAAAAGCTCAAGTGGGTTGTCCAGTAGAATTATAGCTAATAAACACAAAATTACAAACATAAAGCTGACATTAAGAAGAAGAAGAAGAAGAAGAAGAAGAAGAAGAAGGGGACAATTACTTAGAAGGCAGGGAATGTGACAGAGAGAAAGATATACAAATTGAAGAAGATAAAGCTGCAAGAAATGGGGAAGGTCGGAGTTGAGAGCTGAATGACTGCCAGAGATTTTAGAAAAAGCCAGTAGGGTTTTGGGTTTTATCATCTTTTTCAGTTTTTTCCTTTTAATTAATAAATAATTTGCTCATATATTTTTGGGTGGATTTTTAACTTTTACTTTTTTCATAAAAAAAATATCTGCTCTCTCCCTCCCTCCTGTGTCTCTAACTATTCGGCTCCGTCGCTTGTTCAGCCCCACGCAGAGCTAGCACCACCAGCTGAGGCCTGTTAGGCCCACGCCAAAACCCACTTCCTTGGCCTTTCAGTTGTATTGAGATTTTTTTTTCTTCTTAATTGTAATTTTGGAACTCATCAAACAACCTAAGCCGCGAAATTAGTATTTATTATTTTCTAAAATTTTAAATTTAAATATTTATATTTATAGAGAGTATTATCAAGATATTAAGAAAATTTTAAATAATTATTATTTTATAATCCTCTTAAATTATTTTAAAATATATAATTTTAATCGTAGAGGTAACAAACATATAGGTTCAGATTAAATAAAGTTAAAAAAATTTAAACACCAAAGAGTCAAAATCGACATTTTTTATTAAACTAATATAATTACAAAGCAGTATCCTTTGTAAGTACTTTCATCCATTCAATAATGAACGCTCAATCATCCTCACAGTCGTTGGTACTCGAACTTATGACCTCTAGAAATAAAAACAATTTCTTTAATCATTAAGGTAATTTGATTCATGCCAAAAATTAAATTTTAATAAAACCAAAAAATTAGATATTATGACTGAACTAACTAGAAAATGATTCTATTAGTCAATAATATCTAGAACAAGTGGTTAAAAGTGTTTAGTTCATACTTTATTTTTCTTAGGTTATAAGTTCATTATCCATTAAGGATAAAATTTCTCTTACCCCTCTGCTAATTAGAAATTATTGAAAAAAAGCTTAATACAAAAATAAGTGTATAAACTATAACTCGAAATATAATTTAATGCCTAAAGAATTTTTCATTAAAATAGGTGTATAATATTTTCAACGTTACATGTTTAAGTGCCCAGACGTTAACCACCATTAAAAATCTTTGTTAAGTGATATGTGTCACGTTTTGAGAATTGTTTTTTGAATGAATATGGTTTTATATTGTAAAACAATTGAGTAAACTCGAATATTCAAACAAAATCCCAGCAAAACACTAACCTGAAGACCCCAACATAAACAAATCTGCTCCCTAACAGCCCCTATCCGATTACGCAACTTACCCCTCAATTTGAGCGCAACAGTTTCCTCGACACGCGCAAAGACTTCAAAAAGAGTGTGCTTCAGACTGCTAAATAGTCTGCCATTCCTTTCACGTCATATCGATGCAATCGAACTATTCCAAGCCAACTTTAGGAACACAAGAGATCTCTTTTTCAAGCAACCACTTGCCCAAGCAAGGTCTGACCCCCAACTCAATGCCCCTTTATATAGCTGGCATAATCGTAGAACATTCACCCAAATCTGCCTAGAAAAAAATCACAATGGAAGAATAAGTGATCTCGAGTTTCCAGGTCATTCTTGCACAAAACACAAAGCGCATCCACTTGCATCCCAAAGTCATGGAGCCTACACTTGGTGGGGAGCCTATCAAGAACAACCTTCCACACAATGACTGAATTCCTGGGAATATGACTCGAATGCCATACCAGTCTATCCTAGCGAACCTTCCTCTCCCTCAGCCTAATTTCCTCTCACACAAGGCCAACCGAGGAAAAACGAGCCACCAAGCTACCCTCCAACAGCAGCAGCCTGATCCCTCACAAGTAGTGAACTCCGCCAAGTCCAATTGCAATTTTGGGGCACATCAACATGTAATTTTGAGAATTTTTATTTAAAATAAAAAGTAAAAAATATGCTCTTTTCCAAAATCACTAAAAAAATTCAAATTTTAAAAAACTAAAAACTTTTAAAACATTAATTTTAATCTCTTTGCCACCGTCGGCCGTCACAAACGCGGTCAATCGATTGAACACCCAACGATGTGTGACCGACCAACCAACCACGACCAGAGCCACATACTTTTGCAACCGATCGAACGCCTAAAAACAATATAAATGAAAGATTTTGGTTTAGGGTTTTGAATTCCTAAAAATCTCTTAAATGGATCGTTTGATTGAATGTGGTGGTCGATCGTTTTCCGTTTGATCGGTCGTGGTAGTCGGTAGTGGTCCATAAATTATTTCTATGGAGATATGCATTACAAATCCGGATGGTACAGAAATTCATTCGTTTTTAAGAAATTTGTGACCAACTGTTAAATTATACTGAGAGCAACAGAAGGAGTTGCTGAGTTGTTTTCTCTATTGCCACTTATTTGTATAAAATCTATGATAAATTATGCGTTCAATATTTAAATTATCATTTTTAGTTTGATTTAGTACTTAAATTTTTAATATTTTAAATCATATGTAAAATTTAGTTTTTGTTTCATTTTAGTATCTGCTATTAAAAACTTAACGGAAGGGCTAACTTGGCATAACTCTGATGGACGGACAATCAATACAAACGGGGACCACGTGAGATTGACGAGGTCAACCAACATAGTCCAGTTTTAGGCCTATTGGACGATGGACCATGTATATTGAAGGATAAAGAAATATAATAGTCTATCGTCAATTTGGGGAGTTTGAGGCTTTTCTCGGTGAAACGTAGGTTGTATTCACATTAAGGGGGTTGAAAGGTACATATTGAAAAGTTTAGGCTTCATTGACCTACATATGCAATGAATGACGACTGTGGACGTAGCGATCGACAATTTCGTCCGTTAAATTATTAACGTCGAGGTACTAAAATGAAACAAAAATTAAACGTTAGGTATGATTTTGAAAAAAAAAAGAGAGGAAAGTTTTGGTATTAAAATGGATCAAAAATGATAGTTTATATACTAAACATATAGTATACTCTAGAATCTATTATATTCGCTCCTTTGTTACATTTTAACGAGATGCACCAGTGTACCAATATATGATTTTATGAAAAGGTAGAATTTAGAAAGTTATATAAAAATAAAATTTTTAAAATTGGGTTATCAATAAATAATATTAAAAAAATAGTTAAATTATATAAACATTTAAAATTTTCAGAGGCATCCCATCCTCAACACCCCTCCATCCATCTCTAAATGAAATTCAGCACTGAAGCGTCCTCCATTGGCATGCCAGGGCTGAAGCATAAATGGCCACATTGGGAACTGGATTATCGGTTCCTATCGACGCATTCCACGTGCTACAAGTGTAGAGGTGGAGCTATGAACACTTAAGAGGCGTTTGGATTGGGGAATGTGGGATTTCCATGGGAATGAAATCCACATTCCTTCGTTTGGTTATCTCAGGAATCCCATTCCCGGGTAATGTAAGATTACCAATAGTGAATTTTTTGGTATATTACCGGGAATGTCATTACCTCCCTTTCCTTAGGTATTGTTGGATTACTGGCGTTTTGGACTAAAATGCCCTTAATTTTTTTCTTTTAAAAATATCCTTCTTCTGTCATTGAATAATAAAAAATTCTACGAAGGTTCAATTACAAATTTATCCTTAAACTATTTTAGATTTACAGAAAAGTCTATAATTAAAATTTTATATGAAGTTCAGGGGTTAAAATAAAATTTTACCCTTTCATTAAACCTTTTTTATATTTTCAATTTTGTAAAAAAAATTATATAAATTTTATGAATTTAAATTTTTTAAAGAAAATATATAAATATTTTCTAACTTGTTAAAAAATAAATATATAATAAGGACAATTTGGTCAAATATACATTCCAATAATCTTTTATTCCTTTAATCAAACACGGTAATCTTACATTCCTACTAAGCCAACCAAACACAAAATACAACATTCTCAGTAATCCTATTCCCTGGTAATCTTACATTCCCACTTCCGTGAACCAAACGCACCCTTTTAGAGATAGATTAGAACTTTCCATTGAGCTTAATATCTGGCGATTGCACAACTGGGTTCGGGGGATCTACCCGATGTCCGATCAAGAGTGGGAGACTCCTCTTTATACGCTAAAATACTGATTCATGGCCAAAGATTTTTTTTTTTTGGATAATTAAATCATATTATTACCCAAAGAGCAATAGATGCTACAAAAATAGAGTTCAAGATACAAGGATTGCTACATACAAAAAATAACAGCAATCAAATAATACCCCAATTATTACAAAGAGTAATATTAACAGTATCTAATCTATTAAGGTTTCTACCCCTTAATTGTAAACCAACCGTTTCCTTAATGACTTGAATCAGATCTTCAATAGTCCTTGAACGTTCTTGAAATATACTTTTGTTTATTTCTTCCCATAGAGTGTAAATAAGGGCATTAAAAACAAGCTTAAAGATGTAGGTGATGAGAGATTTACCCTTCCATATAACAGTAGCCCAAGTAAGGAGTTCATTCCAAGATAAAAGATGGTTCTGCAACCCGTTAAGAGAGAAAACAACAGTCCATAAAGAACGAGCAGTGGGACATTCAAAGAAAAGATGGTTCCTTGTTTCCATGGCAGCACCACAGAAAACACAATGGCAGTCGTTAAGAAGTCCCATGCGTTGTAACCTTGCTTTTGTAGGAAGTCTATCGAGGAAAACCATCCAAGTAATTAAGTTGTGTTTGGGGATATGGAGGGGAAACCATAGCAGCTTATGCAATGGGACCTTAGGAGTCTTTACTCTGATGACATTCTAGATTTCTTTGACTTCTGTCGTAGAAGGCAGCAAAGATGAAAGAGCTTCTGGTCTCATTGAAAATGTAGTTCCTAAGCCATGCCACCCATAAAGAACCTTCAGCTGCCAGAATGTGTTTTATAAGAAGCATCAAACATGCCTTGTTCCATGATCTTAAGTCCTTGAGGCCAATACCCCCTTCAGATTTAGGGAGACAAATTTTCTGCCAATTCACCCTAGCACCAGCAGCTGATTTGTCAGTCCCTTTCTAGAAGAACCTTGAACAGAGTTGTTCAATCTTTTTAATAACAGAGGAAGGAAGATTAAGTTGTCTGCATCAATAGTTAGCAATGCTAAATAACACTGCTCAGATTAAATCCAATCTACCAGCATAACTGAGAGATCTTCCAGACCAAAATTGTAGTTTAGCTTTAATGTTATCAATGAGAGAGGAGCAGTCTTTTTCAGAAATTTTCCTAGTTACCAAGGGAATGCCTAAGTAACGAACATGAAGTCTACTAACCTTAAAGCCATTAATCTGTTTGATTTTTTCAAGATCAACAGAGGAAATTCCAGTAGCAAACAGATCACATTTAGAAGCATTAAGGCTTAACCCAGACATTTCATAAAAAAGATCAAGGACAGTAGTAACACCAATAACAGAATCAACTGACCCTTTGCAAAATATTAAAAGGTCATCAGCAAAAGAGAGGTGAGTAAGAGCAATTCTTTTGCATTTAGGATGGTAACCAAAAGTTCCTTTAGCAGTAGTTAGGTTGAGAAGTCTTGAAAGAATATTCATTGAGAGAACAAATAGGAAAGGAGAAAGGGGGTCTCCTTGCCTAACTCCTCTTGCACCTTTGAAATGACCAATTAAACTCCCATTAAAAGAGATGGAGTAGCTTGCAGTTGAAAAACATATTTTAATCCAATTAATGAAACATGAGGAAGCTCAAGAGCTTTTAAGATAGCAATGATAAAATCCCAATTTAGAGAGTCAAATGCTTTGTGAAGATTAATTTTCAAGGAGCATCTAGGAGAAATACAATTCCTGTTATAGCCTTTGAAAAGTTCCTGAGCCAAGAGGGTATTATGAACAATATTTCTACCTTTGATAAATACAGTTTGGTTGAGAGTGATTAAGTCAGGAAAAAATCTAGAAAGCCTGCTGACAAGGATCTTAGAAATAGCTTTGTAAACCACAGAGCAGCATGAAATGGGTCTGAAGTCTTTGACCTTACTTGGATTTGGAATTTTTGGGACCAATGCTATAGTTGTGGCATTAAAAGTAGGAAGCAAGAAATAATCCTGTAAGAACTGTTTTATGGCAGCAGTAATGTCTTCAGTAATAATAGGCCAGGACTTTTTGAAGAATAAAGGAGAGTACCCATCAGGGCCAGGGGCTTTGTCATTCCCTTGGATGAAGAAAACTTCTTTGATTTCCTCATTAGAGACATTTTTTATAAGTTCAGCAGTGGAATCAGAAGGTAAGGATGATCGAAGCAGGTCTTTTAAGAGATGAGGATATGGAGGGTTAACATTAAGGTCAGGGGAACCAAGCAGATTTGAGAAGAAGTCAATGACTTCAGAGGACATTTCATCAAAAGTCTCTAATCTGTTTCCTTTCTCATCAAACAAAATTCTGATAGTGTCCATTTTCTTTTTAAAAGCATCAACAGAGTGAAAAAACTTAGTGCATTTATCACCCTCCTTAAGCCATTGAACCTTGGCTTTTTACTTTAAGAACATATTTTCAGCATTTTCAAGAGTCATTAATTCATTTTGCAATTTGAGTTCCTCTTCAATAACAACTTGCCCTCTAAGAGTTTTAATTTGCTGTAGTTCAAGATCTGTTCTTTTCTTCTTTACCCGGTCAGACAGATCACTGTAGAAAGACTGGTTAAGATTCTTAAGGTGAGGTTTAAGTCTCTTCAGCTTAGAAAAAAGGATCTGCATAGGATTGCCAAAAGCAGGACATTGCCACGAGTTTTTAACAATATTCAAGAATTTAGGGTCATGTATCCAGAAATTGAAAAATTTAAAGGGTTTAGGCTGAGTAGCTTGAACCTCTTTGTAAAGCCAAAGGATAGCAAGACAGTGGTCAGAGGTGCCAGGGGGAAAAAACTCAACATGAGAAAAAGGGAAGGAATTCATCCAGTTCTGGTTGACAAGAACTCTATCAAGTTTCTTAGCTAGGAAGGTGAGTTGTTGCTTGTTACTTCAAGTGAAAGAAGGCCCAAAATAAGGGTGATCAATGAGATTAAGGTCAGTTATAGTTTCTTTGAAATCACTCATAGCAGAAGAATTACAAGGACCCAACAGATCAAAGTCAGACCTTTCATTTGAGTTTAGGATAACATTAAAATCCCCCCAGGATCCAAGGATAATTACCAATTGTTCTATCCAAGTTATGAAGTTGTTGCCACAAGATTCTTCTGGTTCTGTCATCATTACTGTCATACACAACAGTAATAATAATGGGAAGGCCAAGGTGAAGACCTTTAATAGTTATGCTTTGTTCAGAGACATGAATAACAGAAAACTTTAAGTCTTTTCTCCATAAGACCCAAATTATATCATTGAAGGAAAAGTCATAGTGGTGCAAGCATTCCAATTATAAAACTTATTTACCAGAATAGTAGCAGACTTGTCAGATTTGATAGCCGTTAAAATTGGTTCCAAGGCGTTGCTGTTTTGCTGGACCGAGAGGGACCTTTCAATGTTGGTCATCCTTCTATGGAATTTATGGAACCAAACAAATGAAAAAGAGCTTCAAAAAGCAAGCGAAATTGTTAATGCAGCCTGGTTTCTTGGAGCTGATTTTTAAAGAGGCAATTGGGGTTCCTTCAAGTGACCACAAGAGAGATCACCAGAGGCATTCCTTCAAGTGACCACAAGAGGGCTCACCAAAGTCATGCCAAGCTCCGGAGCAAACCGATGGATGGCACGCTGATAAACTAATGTTAACGAAACTTTTATCCCAACATTGGAGAAGATGATGATATACTAATGTTAACGGAACTTTTATCCCAACATCGGAGAAGAGGATGATATCTCCATCGTTAATTGCTGGACAAATCTGCAACTAGACATTTCAGTCATCAATTGGATTAATGCTCAACGAAGCATGCAATACTTACAATATCCCCGACCCTCAAAGCTCATTAAGTTAACATAGGGCAAACCAGATTGAGCATACACTCTCATTGTGCTTTGTAATCCTTTTTTTATTTATTTTTGACGAACCAAAATGTTTTTATTCCTTATCTATTTATTTTTTTATGAATCAAAATGTATTAAAAACGATCTAATTCTTGATACTATTGGCATTTGAATCCAACACCTTTTCATTCATAAAAAAAAGGAAAAGAACTCCAAGGCTCCAAAAGAAACAACTCCAAGACAAATAAATAGGTGTTTCAATTCAACATGGAAAAAGAACAAAACTCCGCAATTTTCACAATTTAGTGGCGTTTTAATACCAAACGCTGCAATTGTCATATAACCTAGTGGCGTTTTCTTAAAACAATGTCGCTACTGAATACTACTTCAACATATCGGGATCCAAATCCCTAATTTTATTCGTACTTGCTTCTTCCTTTCAATACCATATTACTGTGAAAATCAACTCTGCATCACGCCGTCGTAGCCACAAGCGCCGCATCATGTCATCGTCGCCAGTCCCGTCACCAACTGTCGACCATTAGGTATGTCATAGAAACCCATTTCGTTTGACGTTGTTTGCTTTGAATGCCATTTGGTTTGGGAATAAGATCTCGGTTACTGGAAATGTTTGTTTTTGATTCAAGCTATTGCTTTTTTTTGATGAAAATGCTTGTTTTTGATTCAAGAATGCATGGACTAACTACTATACCAAATGGACTTTACCTATTTTGCATTAGATTAGTCGTTTTCATTGCACCCCATTTTCATTGTACCCGAATGTATCCTACTTCTTAAAACATCAGCTGGATACCTTAAACAGGACAAGAAAATTTGTTAGCAATTTGGGTTGCAGATTCAAACAAAATATGAAATCTACAGAAATATATTGATAAACCTTTGATTAGAACATCACAAAGTTTAGATAAAACTGTAAAATAGAGTGCATAGGTATCATCAAGTAAGTTGTTTGTCTCACAAGATCTTTCAAGCATTAACACCCATATGACACAAACCATGAACATAACGCTTAAATTATTCAACTATATATCCATGTGAAAACAGTGATGTAGCATGTAAATAAATAATAGTACACAGAACAGGGCAAGGAAATCTAATAAATAAGCGAAATAGAAAGTAACATAGAATTTAAGTCGAAAGAGAACACCAGTGTACTTAACAATGGTCTACAACTCCAGGAAATGCGCAAGCAAGATAGATCAGAGGAATAAAAATTGAACATATTATATCTACTTTCCTATAAAAATTGAACATGTTATTATATCTACTTTCCTATCATGGGATTTATTTCTGTAACAAAACCAGAAGAATAAAAATTGAACATATTACATCTACTTTCCTATAAGAGTGTAATTTATAAAATCTTTTCATAACACTAATTTAATTGATCATAATTCGAATGGAAAATTAATAACAAATTAAAGAATACCTGCAAATTCAGAAGTTAAATGATGACCCTTTGAGATATGTACTTTGATCTCCTCATAGTCTATACCATTCATCCTTATTTTAATAATAATAAAAAACATTTAAAAGAGAGAGAAAACCCTTATAATAGTTGAAATCAAGTGAAAGAACTGAAATTTACTTGCAGAAGATGATAACAACACGAGATGGCTGAGACATCTATATGGTTGAAATCAAATAAAAGTTGAAATCAAGTGAAAGAATTGAAATTTACATACACAAAGATGTCTCCTGTATATGGTTGTGCCCATGATGATCCTTGTTGTCAGGGTAATTAATTTTCACTAAATTGTTGTTTGTTTATTGCAGATATTATGCATAGGAAAAAATTAAGTGATTTACGGATTGTTCGAACTTCTCAAGAGGAAGAAGAAACAAATAATGAGGAATCGACTGGTGTTGGATCTTCGGAAATTCCGAATACTGTTGAAGAAACTATAGAAATTAAAGGTAATGTTCAACACTTTATTTAATTACTGGTTGATTTTCTAAAATTACATTGAATTATTTTTTATATAGTTCAAATTGGCCGAAGACGAAAGACTAGAGGACGTACAATGCTAAAGAAATTATACCAATTTCCTCCTCGGAGCCGTGTGAAAATTTCAAGAAACGATGTCGGTCAACCTATTGGCCCAGAAGCACGTCTTCTATCCAGTTACTTAGGAATGGTTGCACGTAATGTTATAAATTATGAGTCATGACGTGAAATAACAAATAGTAGCAAAAATCAGGTTGTGGATTTTTTTAAGGTAATAATGTCATTATAATAGATAATCCATTGCAGTTCAATAGTAATTTATATTTACTTTGAACACTTATGTTATTTGTAGGAGAAATTTTCTTTAGAGGTCTAAGACGATTATTTGAAGCAAGCGTTAGGGAAGAAATGGAGAGACCACAAGAGTTATTTAAAAAAGAAATATTTCAAGAATCATCTCAGTCTTGAAGAGAAGTTGCAAATTGACCCACCTAAAATGCTCAGGTATCAATGGGAAAATGCAATCATGTTTTGGAGTTCAAAGAAAGAAGAGGTATGATGCATTTTAAAAAAATAATATTATGTCATTATAATATTATCTTTATACGTACAAATTTTAAATTTTAGGACCGAAAGCATGTTGGTATTGCTAGCAGACAATAACAAAAGTTTACTCACACAGCTGGATCGAAGAGTTTTGCTTGTATAGCTAATGATGAGGTATTATTGATTATTTACATAGTGATTTACAGTTGGTAGCACATAGTAAAGAAAATTATTTATATTATTAATTAATTTTTTGCAAGACTAAATTTTTATTCTCATTGTAGGAAAATACGTTTGGTACTAAAGTTTGACGAATAAAGCTCTTCGACATGACACATACAAAAAATGATGACTCTTATGACTGATGAAGCTGCAGAAGTTATGGCACATTTATTGGACACAAGATTTGAACTATGTTATATTTATATCTATGTATGACATTTTTATTTAAAATAATTGTTGAATTGATTATTAGGAAAAATTGAGGGATAAAATGGCAGAGTATGAAGCTACGACTTCAAGTCATAGTATTATTAATGCAGATGAAATTGAAAATCAATTTATTAATTAAGCTTTGGGTCCTGAAAGATATGGATGGGTTCGTTTTCAAGGATCATTCGTTATCCCAACCAAATATTTTGGATCCAGTTCATCTCAGTACATGTCAACACAGAGTCAGATTTCCCAATCAGAAGTTAGTCATTTAAAACAACAGTTGGCTCAAATTGATGAAAATTTTGCTCAAATGAAAGCCGAAACTGAAGCAGGGAAGCAAAGAGAGAAGCATCATATCAAAAAAAATATGAGGACTTTCAAAATCAACTTCAAGATGTGATGCAGATGATACAACAAAATCAACCCCAGAGCCCACCATCTTAGGTGTTATTTTAGATATATGTTTTTTTCCTAGTTAATAATGTTGAACTACATTATATTTCACTTTAATGTAAACTTTGATTTATTATTATGGATTTCAAGTTTATTAGATAATGATTCATGTTAAAATTTTAAATTTGGGTAATAAAAGAGTAGAAAATAGAATTTAGAAAATCAGTTTTAATTAGCGACGTTTTTATAATAAAACGCCACTAAACACATAATCAATATTGGCGTTTGTAAAACAAAACACCATTAAAGTTCAAGATCTTTTGCAGCACTTATATAGAAAATGACATAGCGGCGTTTTACATTCACAAACGCTATTATATGTCATAACATTTAGCATCGTTTTTGGGAACAAACGCCACTAAAGATAAGATAAATAGCGGCGTTTGTAAAAAAAAACACCGCTAAAAGCAAAACATGTAGCGGCGTTTGACATTCACAAAAGCTGTAAACTTTTGCAGCATTTGTTTTAGTGGCGCTTTTTGGGGAGTTTATTTTCGCTCTGAAGGGTTTTTTACGGCACATAAAAATGCCGCTATATGACAAAAAAAAAGCCACTAAAAGCTTGCTTTACTGTACTGTCCGAAATAGAGATGCCACCTAACGGACACTAAACAGTATCTAGTGTCGCTTGCATCGACTGAAAATGAATAATGCTTGTGGTAGCAAATCTACCAACAAGGCAATTTTCAAATGAAATACCGTCTCCCAAAGATTATAGTTCAACTTGGATTTCACTGTCTTCATCATCCTCTAACGATAAATCTGCCAAGTCATTTTTCACCAACAGATCCATAAAAAAACAAAGGTAGCGATAGGAGAAGCCAAGTGCGTGCTAAGAAGAAAAAAGAACGTGCTAAGAAGCAGAAAACATGTCAAAAGAAAAAAAAAATATGTCAAAAGATAAAGGCGTTACCTATTTATTTAAATTCAAACTATGAATTATTCTTTTATAAATACAAAGAACGACAATCCTAATCTTAAATGATGAAATGTAAACACAGTATTTACAAAATTGCACATACCACTAAACGAATTCAAACTAAGAATTATTCTATTATAAATATAAAGAACGACAATCCAAATCTTACACGATGAAATGTAAACACAAAATTTACAAAATTGCACATACTGCTAAACGAACCAATCTTTTTATGCTTTGTTTAAGATATATTTGGCCGTTGAAACTTGTGCTTAAAGAAACTCAAATAAAAAATATGGGCTTGAAAATCCAACTATCAATCACAAAAGAAAGAGAAACCAAAAAAGCAGAAGGAACAAAGAGGGGAGATGGTGAAGGATGGTGACAATCATCAAAATAGCCTACTTTATTGCACTCGTTGAATTCTTTGATTTTCGGGTTTCAAGTCTCCATCAAACAACTTCAACCTGCACATCCTCAAATTCTTCTATCTTAACTGATAAATAAATATGAACCAAACCGAGCCAATCCGACACGAAATAAGATTTGAAGCTGAAGGTGAGGCCTGAGGTGATTTTTTATTCTTGAACAACAAATTTGTGATTATTTAATAAAATTGGTTGCTATAACTTACCTAATCATTTCTTTGTAAACAAATATATAGCCAGATAATGACTTACGCCTCCACGTTCTTTCCACTAATATTCAACTGAAAAGAATTAATCATTATCAACTACTCTTACCTTAAATGACACAATATTAGACCAAATTCATGCCATAAACCAGAAACACAAGGGACAAAAAAATGAAGCCATCTTCCATTTCCATTACCTTCTTCTTCCTTGCCCTACAAGCCTTATCAGTCTTACAGGTGAATTCGCAAGGGACAGATTCCTGCAGTTCCAACCTAAACCTGAATCTACCCTTTGATACTTCTTCTCTTAAGTGCCTTTCTGTCTGGACCCGATATAATTTCATCCTCAGAGTAAGTTGAAATTTTCGTTGTCTACTTTTGCCATATACTCGGAAGAGTTGATTACCTATCGTATTAAATGTTTGAATTCTTCCGTTGTGCAGTAAGTCCAGGCCTCGTCCAACGTTTGGAGCTTCGTTCTATCGGCGCCGGATACGAATTCCTTCGTGGGAATGGGGTTTTCGAGATACGGGCAGATGGTGGGATCAAGCGCTGTGGGTTGGTTGTGTTTCACCCGAAGGCACCGGGACCATGAAACAATACTTTCTCGGAGGGCAGCGACCGAATTTAGTGATCCCTGATGAAGGGAACTTGACGAAATGGGTCTTAGTAAATCCCTGAGTTGAGAATTCCCACCTCGACACGAAATGGGTCTTAGTAAATCCTGAATCATGATTTCATCCGATGGGATGACGGAGGAAGGAAGTTGTTCGCGAGCGCCTCGTTTACCTTCACCGGTAGTGGAGGCATTTGTTTCATTACCTCTGCCAAGTCATTTAAGCTGCCAAAACAAAGCTTACTAGGATTAAACAATGCAAAATATGGTAATATAGTATAAGTAGTCCAATTACAATGATGCCTTCCAATTAACATTGAAAATCTAATTCAGACACGTACACATTCAAGATTGTGAGGATATTACCCCGGGCTTTGCATAACAGACCTATATTATCATGTATATGCATAGGAAAAAAATTAATAAGAAAGAAAAATCAGAATTAACAACTCGAAACAATGCAAGGCAGATGTGCATGTGTAAACAGTTATTGAGGAAAATATATAAGAATTAAGACAGTATATTTCACCTGGGAAGCTGAAAATTTTGCTGAAATTTGACTAAACATTTGAGCATTCTAATCAAGCAGCTCTCCTGTCACACCTAGATGCAAATCTATGAACTGCATCAATAAGAGGGATGAGGATGCTTTTAATAGGAGGGTTAAGCAGTCACCTACCTGAGCTTAAACAACAATAGGCTAGAGCCTGGAGTAGAAACACCTAATACCATCCAGGAATATCTAAAACAATCCAGACATTTAGTGTGGCTGCTCATGCAAAAGGTGTGTTAGTGTTGAACATGTTAGGAAGTAGCCCTTCTCTGAGATAGGGCATATTTCAGTTTCAACCATATGTAGTTTTGTGCACCTTTAGGTTTAATGTATCTCATAATAAATTATACAAACACGTTATAGACACAGTACATAATCCCATTACTGTGTTACATATATGCCCTGCTTATGTTACCTCAACTTATTATCTATTTACGCTCCTGCTTCTTGAGAAGCACCCTATTTCAAGAATTTCAGTATGCAAATATATTTCAAGCAACTTTCTACTCAAGAATGTCAAAAC